TATATATATATATATATATATATTACAACGTATTCACCTATCGCTTTTATAAAAGAGACAAATATTTTCGTACTTTTAAGTTCATATATGGTGATAATAACAAACGGCAACTAGGGATTAGGATTTAGGGTTTTTGAGATTAAAGTTAATCACATGACTAATTAGCATTGTAAATTTGAGAATTTGATGAATAGGGTTTCGCTTCAAATTGAGATTTTAATGGAATATCTCTAAACATAAAAGAAGATTCGTTTAATTAATGCCCTTTACTATGAACATGACAAAGAAAACGACCGTACTTGGATTTGAGCAAAAAGAGTTTAAGAAGACCTAATCCATGGAAGCCTTTCCGTGTACCACAAGGCATCGTTTCCTTGTCCTTACTCTTATTTGTCTGAAAAAAGCCAAAGCTTCAACAAATGGACAAGTAAAATACAAAAGAATCTGAATTTAGGGTTTGAAGACGAGCTTCACACTTACTACCAGTAATCACCACATGAACATTCACCATCACGGAAATGATGAAATCTGTTTGAATCTCTCAGCGTTATCGGTCGGTCCACAATCTTCGACAAGTACTTGAAAGCGGAGTGGCAATCTCCGCAAACCCTAAGGTTCTTCATTATTCTGATAGGCAACGAAGATTTACGCAGAAGAACGAAGGCAATGGCGAGCTTTTCGCTGTGATAACTCAGAGTCTCTTCCTTACTCTCGTGCTCGAGATCATACAATGCGTATCTTGTCTCGGGAACATAACCCGCTTCTCTCATTCTTCTACCGAGCTCCTTTAGCTTCTCATAGATCAGATCGATTTCCGGGTGGGACTTATCCCCGGAAACAAACATATGGACTCCGTCTTTCATTGTGACCCAGCTAAAACCGGCATCCTTCTTCACTGCAGCCTCTTTCATTCTCGTTCTAGCCTTTGCTACATCTTCCCATCTTCCACCCGAGGCGTACATGTTAGCGAGCAGGACATAGTTTGTGGCGTTTTCGGGTTCCAAGTGGAAAAGCATTTGCGCTGCTCTATCACCTAATCCTATTTTCCGGCCATTTCCTCGAGAACAAGCTCCTAGGACAGTCCTCCAAATGAGCACGTTAGGATTCATCGGCATTTTGTTAACAAAGTCTTCTAACTTATCGAGCTCACCTGCCCGGCCAAGAAGATCGGCCATGCATGAGAAGTGTTCTATCCTTGGAGTTAAGCTGTAAACTTCACTCATGGAATCGAAATGTTTGTACCCTTCTTCAACTAACCCTGCGTGGCTACAAGCTGACAAAACTCCCACGAAAGTCACGTGGTCGGGCAACAGCCCGTCCAATTTCATCTTTTCGAAAAGGTTCAGAGCTTCCTCTCCTTGCCCATGTCGGGCATAGCCTGAAATCATCGAGTTCCAAGAATATACATTCCTTACGGGCATCATATCAAAGAATCTGAAGGCATAATCTACTCTTCCACACTTGGCATACATGTCAACAAGTGCACTCCCAACTACAACATCAGATTCTACGCATGCTCTTACGGAACACGCATGAACTTCCATGCCACGCTCTAGGGTTGCAACCGAGGCACAAGCACTGAGAACAGTCGCATAGGTGAAACTGTCCAAACCTTGACCCCGCATCAATGACCAGACCAAATCCATGGCCTTGGGCAAGAGCTCATTATGTAAATACCCCCAGATCATGGAGTTCCAGCTTATATCATCTCTTCGCTCTGACATTCTGGAAAATATCTTCTCACACTCCTCCATCATTTCACACTTCCCGTAAAAGGATATGAGCGCGTTCTCTATGGTTGGTTCATCACCAAGATTATATTTTAAAACCAGGGCATGTAACTGCTTGCCCAGTTCACCAAGAGAACGGGATGAAATAGCTGGAAGAATGCTTTGAAAGGTTATTTCGTTGAGGTTCTGTCCCGTACGCATCATGTTCAAGAAATATGTCACGGCTTCGGGCAGTGACCCCTCCGAACTGGCTAATGCTCCGATCATGGAATTCCAGGACACTTGATCATGCTCTGGCATGACAGAAAATATTTTATGGCATTCACTGAGATAGCCAGTCTCTGCATACAATTTCATAAGCGCGTTCGAAACTGAAACATCCAAATCAAGCCCCAACTTGATGCTTTCTCCATGCATTTGTTGGCCTAGCTTTGTCCAACTTAATCTTGCACATGAACTCAAAGAATTGATCAGTGTATAATTTACAGGCAAGAACTCACTTCTCATCTGTCGGAAGCATTCCAATGCTTCTACTGAGCAGTTGTTTTGGTCAAGACCAGTGATCATCGAGTTCCAGGAGACGAGATCTTTCTCCATCATGAACTGGAAAACAGCTTCGGAATCAGTTATTGAGCCACACTTAGCATACATATTTACGAGGCCATTTCCGATGCCAGCTATGATGTCGTTTATACCCGTTCTTATTACATATCCATGTACCTCTCTGCCTTCTCTCAGACCTTCACTGGCAACACAAAACTTAGGAAAAGCACTCAACAGGATTATATATGAATCAAGATTAACATCAATCTTGCCCTGCATGTCCATAAAGAGTCTAGTTGCTTCCTCTCCCCGCTCTTGACTCACCAGACCACGCATTAATCCGTTAAGTGTGACAGCATTTCTTACGCTCATCTGGTCAAAAACCTTCCTGGCGTAACTTACAGATCCAGACTCAGCTAATGCTTTCACCAAACCGCTGCCAATAACAAGATCCGTGAGAATACCTGACTTCTGGACCTTGCAGAGAATCTGTTTGAGCAAACCCACAGAAGAACGAGCAGCAGTTATGAGACTACCAAAAGTGTACTCGGTCGGTTTCAGACCAAACCCCAAACCATCATGTTGCATACCAGAAAAGAGCTTAAATACGGATACATAGTCTCCATTCTTCGAGTAAACCGATATAATTGAATTCCATGATGCTGAATCTTTGTTTCCTATGTCATCAAAAACACGGCGAGCATAATCTACACGCCCTGTGCAATGCCAATACATCGATATAAGCACATTTGAAAGGACAGCGTCCACTGAATAGGAAATCTTGAGGAGTAACCCATGAATTTGCATCCCAAACAGAAGCCCTGAAGACCCCAACTCCTTGCAAGCGCTAAGAACACTACCGAAAGCGTAATGGCTCGGAAAAATGCCTTCTTTAATCATCCCTCTCAAGAACATAAAAGCTTCTCTATACCTTCCATTCTGTGTGTACCCTGAAACAACACATGCCCACGTAACGCTGTTCCTCTCAGGCATTTCGTCGAACACCCTACGCGCCGAGGCCGAGTCACCGGCTCTGACGTAGCCATTGATGAGGGAATTGTACAAGAACAAATCTCTGTCGAACCCATTTTTAAGTAACTGCAAATGGAACAGCTTGGCATTGTCCGAGGAGCAAGAACTGCCGTATCGATCGATCAAACGCTCACGTATGTCAAGACTGGGACTTGAAGCGACTGATGCTTCGAGCGAGTGGTGGGGTTGAAACCCAGATGCTTCGCGGCGTTGAGAGGACGATTCCGATCTTTCACGAGACGAAGAACCGATGAAATGATCGAGAATGTGAGGTGAAGAAGCTGAAGCGATGAAGCGCAATGAAAGTAGTGATGGCGATGGACGATAAAAAGCAGCACGTGCTCTAAATGCCAAGGAGCGACCTTGAGACATGACAAGATTTAACGTTTACGCATTATGCCGAGGGTATACACACACATTCCGACCAATCTTTCTTATACATAATCTAACCGATCATGGGAGAATCTGAATCTTTAATCTTTTCGTTTGTTTTCCCCCTTTTTTTGGACAAGAAGAGAGATTATATATTAAAAAAAAATCCCCTTTCAGTTTCCACACAAACACAACCTGCTCCGGTGAATCCAGTGACAGATGATCAAACTCAGTGAAACGTCACTATTATTCAATGATGGTTACTGAATTCTGAATCTCAAAATAATTGAATCAATGTTCTTGGCAAACATTTGCCAGATATCTTATTTAAAGGTGACGTGACTTTCCCTGTTTCAGCTTCAAACTGTGCCCAAGAACTATACACACACACTAACACTACCCGGACAACTGCTGATTAGTTCTGTTCTGTTAATGGCGGCTCTGTTGAAGCAAGGGAAATTCCGTGAGGATTATAAAGGCCGAAGCTTCGGACTCTCGGAGGTACCTCAAATTTCCGTTCATTAGTGTCACGAGTTTCTGGGCGATGTATAATCCCAGACCTTCCCTCGAAAACGCGTGCCTCGGCTGAAACATCTCCCTGACCAGATCTTCCGGTAGTCCTGGTGCCGGGTGGGTGATCCTGCACATGTTTACGTAGAATCACATCACGTTTTCGCCGAGATTCAGACAGGGGTTTGATCTTTTAGACCTACCTGAACTCGAGATGAGCCATTTGCATTCTTTTCCCTATACGTTCCTTCCATGGAGATACCTTGAACGAGATGGATGATCCCTCCAAGGCAGGGGTGAAACGTAAGGCACTCGAGAGCGTCTCCGAGAGGACTTGTTGAAGCCTCGAGCTGTCTCCGTACAACTGCATCGAGGAAACTTCCCGAGGGAAATCGGAAACGATCTGCACTTGACGCTCTTAGCTTGTTTTCTTTTTCTTTCTTCGCTAAGAACCGTCACTTGTTTCACCACAGCGTCTAGGGCTTCCTCGAGGTTGAATTCACTGCAACCCAGTTCTGCATAGCTGGAAAGAACGAAACAAAGAAAGCGAAACACAATCATAAGACCCAAGATTCGAAAAGAGCTAATCCGAACAGAAACAGAATAAGCTTTGGAACTTTACCCCTCCTCGATGCCCTTGATGTCTGAATCGCCTATGATTTTGGTTAACTGCTCCCGACACAAAACCCCGGTTCTCTGTAACTGCCTTCTCTCTCCGTCTAAACCCGATGAATGTAGTAACTCTTGAATGAAAGATATTGCATTTAGGGGGGGTTTCACTTCTTGACGAAGATACGCTAACTTATTGAGGGCACTGGCAGTCGCCTGCTCTGATTTCCGCTGAAGCCGGAGAGCGTTCTGGAGTTCCGGACTAGGTACTTGCAAAAAACACAATACCCCGTTAACCTTTCCCTCAGTATCAGTCCTTTTGCTTGCAGAGAGTAATGCCTCGACAAAGTTATCTTTACGGTCATAGAAGCCGAAGAAAAGCTTCTCGGAGTCCTGCCCAGAAATCACAGCATTTAACATTATTCTTAGTTCGATCGATGTGTCATCGTCCTTAAGACGGCACCCATAACTATTCAAGGTGAATACTTCCCCGAGAAGCATTTTGCCCACGGCTTCCTCTCTGTTCAGACCTGACAATTTCTGCATTGCGCCGCTCCACTCTAAGCATAACCCGTTCTCATTTGTCATGAATATAGGAGGGATGAGAGCCGAAGGGCTCCACATGATTCTGGTGTAATCCCCTTGGACACGGCTGTATTTTTCTACGAGCGTCCTCTGCCCAGTAACATCTTGGCCGACAAAGCATACGCCATGAACATTTTCTGTCACGTCTCTGCTACAGCACGCGTTAATTACCAAAACAGTAGGACTGCTTTTCCTTTTAGGACCAAATGATCTGATTTTAATCTCCACATCCCGTTCTTCTTTACCTATCGCATGCAAGAGAAGAAACGGGTAAAAAATCTTCCTAAACAGTCGGAAATTAAAAAAAAAAAAGACGGAAAATTGCAAAAGGTGAATGCTTTATGTATAGTGCATATATGTTTTTTAACCTTCAAGAGCCAAGGCCAACATGTTCTTGATGGTGTCAGCTGAATCTGCTTCAACGAGATCGCATAAAGGTTTGCCTATTGCTTGCTCGACTACGAGACCCGTTAACTCGGCCGCTTTCGAATTCCATCCATTTATCACACCACAGGCATCAACGGCAAAGATCGGGACAGCAGCCGTATCGATCAGACGGACCATCTCGTTCACGACAACACACAATTCATCCACCTTCTGAACCCTGTTATCCACGACCGGCTTCGAATTATCCAGAGTCTCCTCTTGCAATGACCCTTTAAGTATCAGCTTAAGAGAATGAATTGCATCGAGTTCCATATCATCCCACGGCACGCTTTTCCATCTAACTACTTCCATAAATGCCTTGAACGACGATCTAGGATGCATCTTTTTACCGTCTTTGTCATTGGGATCATGTTTTGCGCCACCCCAGTTGATCTTTCTCGCAGTGCCAGACCGGAACCAGAAAAGGAAATCGTTCGAAGTTATATTTGCAGCAACCATTCCGCAAACAGATTCCCCGAGAACAGAAGCACCGGGATAGCCCGACTCCATTAGGCTATCGGTGGTCAAACCAGCGGTTCCACCATGATACTCGAGAACCCATCCAATTAAATCTCTAATCTGTGGCTCCGTAGGAGTTAACCCTAGCAACCAGAACTTCTCTCGGTGATAAAGGGCGGCTCCGTCACACTTGACGAGGTCCATTATATTAGGAGACTGAGTAACGATACCCGTGGGAGCATCACGAAGAAGCATGTCACAGAGCATGTTCTGAGTTTGCAGAATCCGCTTCTCCTTCAAGAGAGAAGCTGATTCCACCTCTTTGTTGATCTGAACACTGAATATCTGAATCAAGAATTCACAAGCATACCTTAAAGGAAATGGCACGAACCGAGGAGTTGTGTGATGGCAAACCACTAAGCCCCATAATCTTCTCCCTGTCTGTTGATATTGATCGACGTTCATCTCGTCATTATCATTCCCGTTGATCGTCACGGACATAACAAGAGATGCCACTGAACCCATATTACTCATGTACTGTGCATGACACCCATGAGGAGCTCTCAAAGTAGATCCGCAAAGACTTATCGGCTGTGACAGTTCCTTCGCCTGAACTACCTTAACTGGTACTGCTGAACAATCACATATCATTCTAACCTTGTTACTCATGAAGAGAAACCTCGAGGCTTGGGGTATATCAGTGGCCGAGTAATGCAACCCAAGATAAGGCTCCAAGTCAGGCCTGCAGCATTCGGCAATCACTTCCCCGTGCTCATCTTCATGGAATCTATACACCATCACCCGATCATAACCGGTTAATTCTCTAACTTCCTTTACCAGAACATCACATAGCAACGACATATTACCAGTAGGTAAAGATTGCAATCTTGAAATGGCTTTGGCTGCAAGCTTATAAGACTTCAATGCCCCGGCAGAAGTCACGGGCACATCAACCGGACTCACGGGTTCTAAGTCTATAACCAGACCCACATCAATTCTATGCAGAATAGCGTAAAAAGGCTTCCCTGAGGTCCTGCAATGAAGCTGCATCGGGTTTAGAAGACTAATATCATCAAAGTCAACAACTTTCTGCAAGGAAGCAGAACCCGGGGACTGAAACAGCGTCCGGACATCTGTTCCAAAAGTCAGAGCTTCCTGTTGTTCCATGCTTGGCACTGTGTGTGGTGTCAAACCCAACATATCTTGGGCATTTTCACTATATGCAATCACTGTGAGGTTTTTCTCGTCGACAGCAATCAAGCAGCCAAAAGGCTGGATCAACATCCCTCTCTGAATATTCTGCAGGTAAGCTGAGATAGTTGAAGGAGAAACATTGCTAGTCGAACTAGGCATGTTCAAGTCAACTGAAGCAGAATAATCAAACAATCGATGGGATTCTTCGAAGTTTACATGTAGCTTTGCATCAGCACATATCTGTGAACTCACTCGAGAACTGGGTCTAGATCGAATAGAACTGCTCCGGGAACAGTTAGTTTGGTCTGTCGACTTAGAAGACATTGTAGCCCTTCTCAACCCTTCAATCGCTCTCCTTGCCCTGTCCCTACAATCAAAACAAATTCACCAAAAAAAATTCTAACTCTTGACACCATGACACCAGAGCAAACCCAGAAAATATCTTTATGGGTAGGAGAAGATCAAGAAATCTCTGAAAACATAAGCAGAATCCAAATTCACCAGCTCAGATGCTGTTACTTAGATACTGTTGTAAGTGCTGGACCCCAAGAATCATAACGGAATAATGAAAACGCACAAGAAAATCACTAATACATTCCATACCAAACAAAAGCAAAAAGAACAGTAATCCCATTTCACAAAAGCTGACTCGCCATTATATTCTCATAATATAGCCCCGAAAAAATGGGGAAAAAATGACAGAAGAAAACAAAAAATAAAAAAGCTAAGAGCTTTAAAAAGCAAATAAAGAAGTGGGGTTTTCATAAACAGATCCCCGAGCCGGGAAAATGGATGAAAAACCTCAAAGTCTATGCGGATCGGAGATAGTTTAAGATCCTAAAACAATCGGTAAAAAAACTTTAATTTCAAAAGGTTATAAACGAAGATTAAATTAATATATATTTATATGGAAGAATTAAGCAAGCCACCATTGTAGATAAGGGAGAATCAACCCAGTCCACTAGATTGCCACAAAAGTAAGAATCTGGAATCCCTAAAGAAAATTTCGGTTCTTTTCTCTCTTTCCAACCCAATTCATACGAACCCAGGATTCAACGGATCCCAAAACAAGAATTGGTAAAATCGAGCTTATTGAGCTTGTGTACGTATGCGTGTGCTGACACAGAGAAAACAAAGATGGGTAAAACAGAACAATGGAATTCAGAAATGTAGATCAGGGAGGAGAGAGAGAGAAACAAGCCGAAAGTTACCAGCTTTTTCATGGACCTAGAAGCCAAACGAGAGGCATGATCATTTGCTCATCAGGGTTTTTGCTTTTCTCGAGATTTTTGTTCCGAATTTTATTGTAAGAAGATTTTTTACGGCATCTGTTTGCCATTTCCGTCCTTTCCTTCCCGAATCAGATAAGCGAAGGAGACGCAGACACTGGATGGGTCACTGTGATTGGCCGAGAATGGAAAGACCACTTGCTGTTTTAAACTTATGGTTCCGAACAGTGTGTCGGGTCTTAGAGAAAGACATCCTGCTGTTTCGAGTACAGAAAGCTCAACCGTCTGCTGTTTTTGTGTACAGATAGCTGAACTGTCCGCCGTTTCGTTATAGTAGTACTTGAAACACATCAGGTAAATGCATAATAGTTAATATCATGATGGAAATTACATTTTGAAAAGGAAAAATGATCATGGCGTTGTACATAACAAGCAGGACGGTAATGGCGGATGGATTATTTATCACCTGAGAGGGTTTCATCAGTTTCTTGAAAATGCCCTCCATTTTCTTTTAGCTGCTTCAGAAGCTATTGATCAAAAGGCTCTCGCTTTCCACCGAATTCTCAAGATTCGATTTCTTGAATCGACTGCAAGAACAGAAACCTGATTACATGTAACAATCAACCAACGGCAAATCCCCAAATAACACAAACAGCGATTATGATGGTTCCTTGACAGATTTCAATAAACCACCTAAGGAATGTAAATATAAATGCATAACCTTTAGGGGCAAACCTCGCTGGTTATAATGGCATCAATGAAACTTTCGGGAAGCCCCAACCTTTGTATCCCGGTTGATGCTCCAAACCCGAACTCCCCATTCCTCTGGTATTGACACCTTTATCAGTTTCCTCAACAGCAATGTTTATCTCCCTGTCATCAATACAAACAACATTTCTCGAAGAGAAGAGCACTAGTTCGAGGCCCTTGTAATGTGTAAACAAGAGAACTAAACGACGCTAAGACGGTTGCCCTCCACACAGTTTGGTTGAAAGTATAGCCAAATTGCCAATTCTACCAAACTGGCATAGCTTTCTCCTCTTGAGGTCACATAAGATGCTGCTAAATTTAGCAGCTTAGCAGTTAGGACCCTTCTCTGGCTTCAGCTTGGCAAGAGTTTGTACATTGTGATAAGCAATAGGAAATAGAAAAATGATCCTCAATGATAAAAGGATATGACCCTCATGACCCTTGGTCTCCTCCAATCCATCCCAAGCCATGTTCATCATCAACCACCAGTGGTTCCCATACTGATCAGGATTGCTTTCGCAATGTTTCTTTTTGGTGTCATCCTTCTCCTTACAATCATGCGGTGATACCCCGGGAAAACTCCCGTGAAATATGTGAGGAGGGTACGGGGAGAATATCTGCTTTCACCCGACAAAACTCGGTACTTTCAACGATTTTGTTCATCTCCTCAAAGTAATCATCATGACTAACAATCAACAGTGTATCACTTATTCCTTTTACCCTGGACAAGATACAAACCCAAATTTCTCGGCTGCAAGTGGTTCCTCTTTGCAACCAAATAAACTACATTTAATTGCCTCTGGCTATTGTTAGCAATGAAGTGTTCAGCCTAGATTCCAAATTTTGGTCCACATTATCAACATAAAGGGCAGACGGCTTCCTATTCGAACTTGTCCTGGTCACAGACAGCAAAAACATGACCACTGAAAGAGTAACAGCAACGAACAGCACTAAACGGCGCCAAAGCCGAGTCTTTCAGTCTCTGCTTCTTCCAAGGAGAAGCCATGGAAGCAACTGCCAAGCCAGAACACCGACCAAACTTTAGAATTCAGACAAAACAAAACAACAGAGAACCCTAAGCAAAAATACAGCAAACCCAACTCTACGTTTCTACATGGCCAAGATTGAGCAAGCAAAAACCCTAAGCAAAGGGCTTCCTTTTCACTCTTCAAATCCAGAAATAGTAGTAGAAACCCATGCTGCTGCAAATCCTATAATACAAATCAAAATACCAAATTTGAGAGAATAACAGAAGCTCCACGAACACCATCATCAAGAAAGAACAAAAGACTCGAGCTTTTAGCATGGGATGAATCAAAGAATGCGAAATTTACATGGAAAGCAGCCGCCCAGTAGAAACCACAAGAAGGGTACTCCGAAAAACACGAGCTTTTCGCAGATCAACGAGAGAGACTGCAAGAAATCTACCAGCAGTAGACCTAGTGTTCCTAGAACACTTTTGGTGCCTTCGACCAAAGTCTGGAAACAGTCGGTTGTCAAATGTTACTCTAATTCCGCCGATTGCCCACATGTTGCTTTTGTTTTTAACCCTTTAAATTGGAAAATCATAGTTATAATTTTGTTTGAAATTTTCACTAATCAACGAAGCATAGAACAACGCTTTCGGTACCTTTCAGTCAAAGTTTGGAACTTTTGGTTTGTTCGGAGAGATTCTTCTTACCTCCGCTATCACAATGCAATGCTAAAAAAAATGCACAGATTCTTCTTACCTCTAAATAGGTAGTGAGATTGTAAACGCTCTTTCAATCTTCGTAGAATGCTCGAATAACGGACTGTTAGTGTTAAGAGTAGGGGTGGGCGATCGGGTCGGATCGGGTTATTCGGATTCGGTTATTTCGGGTTCGGATTGTTCGGGTTTGAAAAATTCATATCCATTCGGTATATAATCTTAATCGGTTCGGTTCGAATTCGGTTCGATTTTTTTCGGGTTCGGTTCGGGTTTATCCAAACAAATATTCGATAAAAAAAATAACAAAACAACATAATAATTTCATCTCATACAAAAACAAATCCAAAATATTGTTCAAACAACTTGTTTCAAATCCAAAATCTTCTTCAACCTAATCTTCTCCAACCAAATCTCCATATGACAAACCTTCAAAAGAATAAAACAATGACAAAATAAGTGAAACAAATGATTGAATATAATGTAAAAATATAATCAAGATAAAGATTTACCATAATTTATCTTCATCTTTCTAGACGACACACAAATCACTTTGTCTCGATGATTTCCGAAATTCTATGCAAACAAAGAGATTAAACAAATCAAGAAAATACAAGTTGTATTTTAGATATTTTATAAAACAATGTAAAGATAGTGATTACCTTCAGCCAATGCAAACATAAATTCATTTTCCGCGATCAACTCACTGAAGTTACGTTTTTCGTCAGAAATAAGAGGAGACATCAACCAATTTTGTGTCAGGATCAATGCTTCAACCATGTCAGGAGTTAAACAACTTCGATATTGATCTAGAATGCGACCTCCTGTGCTAAACGCAGACTCGGATGAAACAGTAGAGACCGGAAATGCTAATAAATCTCTCGCCATTTCTGCCAAGATTGGAAATTTACCATTGGCCGTCTTCCACCATGATAAAATATCAAATTCGCAACCCAAGCTGTTAGGTTTCATCACCTCGACCTTTTCCATCAAATAAATATCTAACTCATTCGGTGATTCCTCAACCACCCCTTTATCTACCATCATTTGAGTAAACGAAGCAAAAGGGTCATCCTCATATATGAAACCCATATCGATATCAACACCATTCATATTACTTGACGATTCAGACATCTCAACGGATGATTTTCTACTTTCACATCTTTCTCCACTTGGTGTTTTGTATTTGTACCACTCATAATAGGAGACAAACAATCTATGCAACACATCAGTTATGCTCTTCTTCATGTCGACACTTTTGGCACTATCCTTACCATACATCTTGTCAAAACAATGAGTTACAAAACTCATCTTACTCCTTGGATCAAATACAGATGCAACAATCAATAACTTGTTGATCCTTTCGGTGCCTTCCCAATACTTATCGAACTTGAACCTCATTATCTTTGTCATCTTGCTCATTTCGTGATTGGGATTGTTTGCCAAGGATGAAAGAACCGTTTCAATCTTTATAATCTCGTTGTAACAGCAAGTAGAAGTTACCTTTGTAATAGCAGAAAATGCTAAAGTCGATTCATAAAAAATCTTCAAGAATCGTACCAATCGATGAGCATTTTCCCAATCATTTTCTGAAGGAGGACCAATCCTTTTCTTGTCGGTTCTAGAATCATCATCTTCAGCAAAATAATCCTCATAAAGCTTGTCTTCCATTTCCATTCGATTAAATATTTCTTTATACTTCAAAGCGGAAGATAACATCAGAAATGTCGAATTCCAACGTGTCGCACAATCCAAAACCAAACTTCCTCTGTTAAAGTTATCACTTCCAACTCGACTTTTAAATGCTTGCAACCTTGAATCGGACGACCTTACATACTTAACAGCATTGCGAATGCTCGCCACACTATCACCTATGTCTGATAACCCTTCTTTAGCAATCAAATTCAAAACATGTGCTCCACAACGCAAATGCATAAACTCTCCTTTCAACACAAGAGTATCTTCACACCATGTATTCAACCGGTTCTTTAAAAGCTTCAAAGCACAATTATTTGCGCTAGCACTATCAACGGTAATGGCGAAAACCTTATCGATACCCCAATCCACCAAACATTTTACAAATTCTCTTGCAATGGTCTCTCCCTTATGGTTCGATATAGGGCTGAAACTGATAATTTTTCTATGCAAACGTCAACTTCTGTCGATAAAATGCGCAGTGATAACCATGTAACTCATTGTTGTTATCGATGTCCAAATATCTGTAGTAAAAGATACCCTTTGTTTGTTCTCATTCAACAAATTCTTCAAAGAAACCTTCTCATTCAAGAATAACTGATAAACTTCTCTTGTCACTGTTCTTCTTGAAGGAATCACAAATGAAGGCAATCCAACATTACAGAAATGTTTAAATCCTTCTCCTTCAACAAATGTAAAAGGCAGTTCATCCATAATAATCATCCTAACCAATGCTCCTCTAACTGCCTGTTGACTAAACCCAACAGTGATAAGTTTAGAATCTCCTCCGATGGACAGATCTTTACTTAAGGTTTTCTGACAAGCACTTTCAGAAAGATTCTTATATACCTTGCAAGTTTTCTGAATATGATTCTTTAAACTGATTGTACCCATTGATGAACAGCCCGTCAACACAGCACCACAATAATTGCAAGTGCACTTCTTTGGGTTATCGGGAAGTTTGGTAAAGTGATGCCATACCTGGGACCTCGCTGGAACTATCCTCTTTGCTTTCGGAGGTAGTTCCGAATCTGATGGTGGTTCTTTTCTCGTATTACCGGCTGATTCTCCAATTCTAACCATCTCCGAATTTGTATTATCCATCTGTTAACAATCCAAAACACAATACACAATTAATATCACGAAACAAACAACGATGTCAACCTTACATAGCAGAGAATTAACGCAGAAGAAACGCTGTCAAAGGAGACAAAATTACCTCGGAGTCTCGGACTGAAGATGAAGGCAAACCGGCGACGCACAAGGCTGAACCAGAGAGAAGACAAAACCAAGCTTGAAGCTACGCATAAGAGAAGCAGAAAGTTTACCCGAACCGAAGGTAAGCCGGCGACTATAGCCTAAAATTTATGAGAAGTAGAGAGAGGCCACAGAATCGGAAGAAAAGGAACGCACCTCAGAGTCTCAGACGAAGAACCCACCGGCGACGCAATCCAGAGGTGCGAGAGAGGCCGACGGAGGACACGCAATCGAAGCTCACACGAACCACAGACGAAGAGAGAGGCAGTCGACGGCAAACCAGAGGTGCAGAGAGAGAGGAGCCGACGAAAAATCAGAGGTGCAGAGAGATAGAGAGAGAGGTAGACGGCGACGCAAACCAGAAGTGCTTCGACAACCGGCGCGGCGGCGACGGAGGACACGGATCGAGCTTGAGGAAGATGAGCTTCGAGCCTTCGAGTTCGAGCTTCGACAGAGGCGGATGAGAGAGGAGAGCCCGAGAGGCGAGAGGGTTAAGGTTAACCCTAAACCAAATTAATTAAAAATGTTAATTTCGGTTTAATCGGATACCCGAACCGATCGGTTATTTACCCGAACCGAACCGATCCGATCGGTTATAGGATTATGATAACCGATCGGTTATTTTTGCAAAATCCGATCCGAACCGAAACCCGATTAATCGGTTCGGTTTTACCCGAACCCGATTAACCCGATCCGATTGCCCAGCCCTAGTTAAGAGTATGTTCCAGGAAGACCCTCTGAATCAGAAGGACGTTTCCGGTTTGATCTATTTCGGATCGGACCGGAAGAATACGTTTGTTCAACTTAATGAAACGGTGCATATTGGTTAAAGGGGGGCAGAAAGGGCATTTTTGTTTCGCGAGGAAAAATTGTTTTTTGTTTTTAATGCATCTTCTTAATCCTAACCAATTTGATGAAACTTGTGCTCGAAATATACAAACACACGAGACGTATAAATCTCGTAGTCTTTCTTTTGCATTTATTAGTTAATTCTTGGTCATATATATTTTCCTCCATTATTTTTTATATAAAAATAAACTAGAAATATATTTTTATAATTTTCAAATTAGGGATTTTAAAGACACTAGTTTGAATTTCATTCAGATATATTTGCTCCAATGTTTTTTTTTAATTTAGTTTAAATTAATTTTATAAAATCATTTTATTTTAGGTCTTTTATATCCCACCAATTTCTGTTAATTCAAATTAAACAATCATTAATTTCTTAACTCAAAGTTAAAACTTCAAGAAACATTAGGTTTTCCTTTTGAAGTCATCCAATAATGGGGCACTGTCGGCAAAATAAAAGATATAATTAAACAAGATAACGACAATAGCCACAAATGTTTTTACGAAAGGAAAAAAAAAAACCTAAAATTGAAATGTGGAGAATCACAACGAAAGCAACCTTTCGGACAAGTCACAATCCCAAACCCTAATTCAAAAAAAGTGAGAAATCAGACCAAAAAAAGTCCACTGTTGTTTTTAAACAAAAACAGTAACGTACTTTTGGTCAAACTCTGAAACAGAAAAAACAATCAGTCTTTTTTTTTCATTTTAATTAAAAAACAAGAGAAAATTTAAAATGTCATGTTGTTGAAGCCTCTCACCTTCCTGTCACCATCTCCTCCGTCACAGTCCAATTAAAATTTAATGAAACCCTAACCCCCTACTACTTATACACATACCCTTTCTCTCTCTAGGCTCAGAAACCTACCCCCTCTCTCTCTCTAACGCTAGGGTTTAGAATCTCTTTTCTACTGTGCACCGAAATCCCATAGATGTATCGTATTCCCAGCCGTTGCGGCCGCCACGTGTCGATCGTCGGCGACCATGACGTCGACTTCGCCCACTCTCTCCCTAAAACTATACAGATACTCGCCGTGTTCGATCTCCCACACGCGCACCACTCCCCCGGTCCACATTAGCGCGTTCAGCGCGTTCATACACCCCACCACTCTCCCACGCGACGCACCACTCACGCGAAATGCGCATATATCCCCTAACGTGCGCACGCGACGCACGTTACCCCTGCCACGGCTGTCGACACTAACGTACGCCTCCCGGTTAGCGTCGAACGACGTCACGATCAGGCCTCCCCGGTGGTCGGCCTCGACGTCGCCGAGAATTACCCCTTGGTTTCTGAGATCAATGACCATAATTCTCCAGCGCGTGCTCGCCACCGCTGTCTCCTCCCCGGAGATTCTGATCCGACCAAGCAATGTCGTGAGTTCGGTCAACGTGTGCCACCCCATTACTGCCTCCGGATCGGTCAGCGACCCGCCCACGAAAGTCGTCGTTTCGGTCTCGCGGTCCCATATGTGGAAGGCCCGACCGGGGACGCCGGCAAACAACCCGACCCACCACCGGCCGCATCCGGCAAAATCCACGAGAGCGCCGTCGTTGACAATGTCCCCGACGTGGGCCGTTCTCACTTGCTGGTCCGGGCCTTCTAGTCCCGCCACGTGGATGTCCCCATCCATCGTGGCGAACGTCAGTCTGGGACTCTGATCAGCGTCCGAGAGGACGGTCCCCGAGACAGCCCGGGAAAATCTTCCGAAGCGGTCACGCGGAGGCGGACGCAGCGTCCGGACATGGATCCGATCGTTAAGAAGGAAGAGTCTGACGGTTCCATCGGCGAATCCAGCGGCCAAGTAAACGTCGGAGAGAGTGAGGCATCGGCAAGTGAGGCCGTCTGGTTCGTCCACGTCGGACGGGTCGAAGTGAAGCGTGAAGTGGGAGTACGATCGTGTCCGGAAGTTCCTAGCTGTCCGGTGACGATAGATGAACTCATCGTTCCACGTGTCACGCGTCAAACGGGTTCTCCCCCATACGTGGCGCGTAAGGCGTTGCCATAACAGATCAGAGCGCGAGACCGCTTGCCACGTCGAACATACCTGCGTCCAGTCCAGATCACGACACGTCACGAAATATAATAATACTACGGATAAAAAAAATAATGTGAATTAAAGTGAGGACAGTTTTGTTGTTGTGATTTAATTGAGTTTAATTAAATTAATGATGAGTCAGGGACTGGAAAAGGGGGGAAAAAGACATGGAAAGAAGATATAGTAGGCCTGCAACTTACGATGCAGCAAGCATGAGGGAGTAGGGAGATTAGGAAGATGACAGAGACAGACACAGAGACAGCTCTGTGAGACATGCCTTACGACTACTGTCTTAATTCAGTTTCAATAATAAATGTTTTATTCGTTAAATATAATATTGAGCATGGTCAAAGATATGTCATGCTATGCAACTCAACACTAAATATATATATGATATACTGAAGGATGATGCATGAGACTTTATTGGAACCAATGGACATTGAACATTGATTCATATATATATATATACCTATCGAGCTGTGGATAGTTGGCAGTAACAAATTTACTATTATAAGCCAAACATGGAATTATTTGGCAATTGGTTAAGGGGTACAGTACAGACATGCTTGTGGTTGGACAAAAAACCCTAGGAAGAAGAATAACAGGAAAAAAAGAAAACCCTAACGTAAAAAACCAAATCAAAGAGGTACACAAATGACAGACTAAACTCATGGTTTTGAAATACCCAAAAACCCTAATGATGTGATTTTGAAAAAAGATGAATGACTTTTTTTTTTAGGGTTTTTCACATTGATTATCGGCGAAGAAGTGACCCCAGCACGAAAGCAACGAAGCCATTGGCATTAAACCCTAAAGAGAGAGAGAGGGAGAGACTAGCAGTGTATTAAAGTGAAGTAATGCTGTTAGTGGGTTTTCAGAGAGAAAGAGAGAGAGAGAGAGAGAGAGAGAGAGAGAGAGAGCACGCTTGTTTTTGCAAAGTCAGCCTCTCTCTCTCTCTCGGCTTTCATTTCCAAGAAAGGATAGCTTTCAGCCTTGTCTCGTTAAAAGTAGAGCTTCTCATACATATCTGCTTCTCTATATATATTTCCGTTCTCCAAGAATCCCAGTACCTTTATACCTTTCTACATACAACATGTATCGTATATAACATGCATACATATACACACACACACATCGTTTGTATGTATACATACAAATGTACTCAAACACTCGTAATGTTTGGGGTTTGACTTCGCACCACATCTATTCGTTCACAACCTACGAACAGTGTCTAATATTATCTCATTAGGCAAATCAAAGCCAAGCAGTTGAAATGAAAGAAATGAATTAGGGCACAAGAAACTATATATAAGCGCATTATATCATGTTAGACGTGACAAAAATTAATGCACCAAACATAAAATGTGAACTTGTGAAGAGAGAGAAGACCGCAACTATCAAAGAAACTTGGATTATTATTCTAATAAGTAAAATTCTATAGACGTAAGAAGAGCATGCACATACAAGCCTCATACACACACAACACACGCATTGCAATATATATATATATCCATATATCATAACATAAAAGAGCAATAGCACTATGTAACTAACATCAGTTTTAATGATATAACTTGACACTCATATAGGATTTCAAGTGTAACGTGTATATATATATATTCTCTAGAGACACCACGTGTTATGAGAGAACCCAACATTGGGCTCCATGTGCTTTTCGGCACATGTTTTGCCCATGCTGTCTCTCTTTTGACTGAAAAATAAAAAAACCCACTTGGTATAACAATAAAAAAAAATCGATCCATCAATTTCGAAGCGTAATTAATTCAAGACAAGCAACACAGGCATGTACATACACATATATAATTATATATACCGGAGCATGTATGTATGTGATGTTATAAATAGTCATAAATCTCTGGCAAAGATCATGCTGGCATCATTCTGAGATTTCTTGAAAACAACTGCATAAAAGCAAATCATTTTAAAATCTGAAATGGTGGGAATATATGGAAATCTTCTTTTCAAAATCAAAACAAAATAATTTTTTTTAAAAAAAAAACAAGAGGTGGAGGAGAAGAACGAGAAGAAAAGGAATGAAGAAGTGTCAGAATCTGTGCATGCATTCCTCACTGCATCATATATATATAGGCACAGGAACACAGCAGGACGCAAACATTGTACGTATGTACTCCTTATAGATTTTTATAACCTAATTATAACCTTAAAGAAAAGCTATATCTGAATTGCAAAAAGAACATACAATATATATATATATATATATATATGCGTGTGTGTGTGTGTATATCGAGATATGTCGATTGACGAGGCAAAAAGACAGGACCCAAACTTAGGTTTTATTTCAACTATAGATAGATGTTCTGGGACATGCTACAAGACTTTGACTGGAAACGAGGCATCACTCACCTCACCACCATCTAACGTTTACTTCCCCGACCAAAAAAGAATATCATGTGAGATCTCTAATAATATATTATCTCGCAAACATTTAAAAAACCTAGAAAACGAATGAAAAACACAACTCAGTGACATTTTTTTTTTAAAACATTCTTCGAAAAATAAAAGTTTTTTAAACTACGAAATCACAGGGTTAATTAGAATCTTCTTACACTGCCGCAAACTTTTATATTGTAATCCTAGAGATGGACTAAACATTTACAAAACTATATGATTTACTATTTATACACATTCTCAAACAAAAAAAGAATAAGAAAAAGGTAAATGCATATGGGTCATTGAAAAGGGTTTGTCTATTATCTTTGTAGTCAAGAAAGTGTTTCAAGAAAAGGATTATTATTATGGAGGGGTTAAAAGACGGGTTTCGAGTCAATAAAGGGCTCCTTGGGTATTATTTCATGCCAAGAAAGGGAAATCTTCCAAAAAAAAACAAAAGAGAACCCTTGATTTGGTGCACTGATTCTGCGTGGACTTACACATTTTCTAGTTCTAGAAACTATTACAAGGTTACAATTTTAAGCCCAAACTCACCAAGATCTCGGAAGGGTTTTTGGTATAAAAACCAAATTATACTTTCCATGCATTGTCTCCTCTCGGGGTCCAAAAATAGACATTTCAAAAGCGGTGAAAAGTTTGGAATAAAAGCGGGTCGAGAAGTGCAAAAAAAAAAGGAGATATTGGGTTTCTCAAAGACAAACTTTCCAACAACAACAACAACAAAAAAACCCACAAACAAAACAACAAAACACAACCATATGATAAGGTGAAAGAGACATCAAATGTCGTCTTGTTATGCATAAAGCTGGACCCATTGAAGGGAAAAGAAGAAGAAGAGCAGTTACCTTTCCAAAGGGCAGTTTTCTTCACTCCCTTGGATACTACTCTCATAATACTTCCAAAAAAAGGGCAGCATATATATATATACACATACGTACGTACATGCATACATAGGTTGCATATTCCTTAAACCATGATGTGAGAATAATATATAATTACCCGAAATCTTCAAAAAAAAATATAAAAAACAGGGGGAAAAAATCTAAGCAAAACAAGTACACACTTGAAGTAACGTTTGACCAGACCAAGATTTTGTCCTTCTCCAAGAAACTAGACCCACAACAACTTTGACTTTTTCCTACGACCCATGTCACGTTTCTTTCGAACCATGTACATTCAAACGTACCTAAAATCTTCAGTTCAAACAAATGGCTGAATCCAACAGTTTATAACAAAACACTCTGCGTTAGGATCTTGAATCTCATTCCGACCGGTTAATTTCGATGTCCGGTCACACACACAAGAAAGAAAGAAAAAAACGGAGCCCTACATGGTTCGGTTACGTTTCTTGAAGAATGAACAAGAAACGTGTCGTCACCGAGACAAAAGAGACGGGAAAAGTGTTCTTACATAACCCTAAAATGTGAGAATGGCACAGTAGCGCATACATATGCGTGTATACATATATACACATACATAAAAACACACGAGCACGCGCCAGAGTTTTAAATTATGAGAACAAAGAAGAAGAGAAATTCAAGAACTGACCCGGAAAACGTTGGCTAGAGCGGGAGCGGCGGCGAGGCGGCCGATGGAGAGGGAAGCGTCAATGGCGACTTGGGCGGCGAGGGCTTCGAGGAAAGGTTCAGGCCAGACGTCGTTGACTCCGCGGCGGAGCCGCGACGGAGACGGGCCCTCGAAGGGTCCGGAGGCGGCGACTCTCCTCCGTTGTCCGCCGCCGTCGTCGGAGGAAGAGGAGGAGGAGGAGGAGGAGGAAGAAGACATGGAGAGAGAGAAAGAGAGGTATAAAAAGAGTAGAAAGGAGAAGAGGGAGAAGAATTTGGAAGAGCGATGGTGGGGGAGAGAGGAAACAAAGGACAAAAAGGTGTAGATAAAGACATACTACAATGGGGGTGGGGGACCCAGGTGGTGCCATGTTTTTCTCTTTTTTAAAAAAAATTTAAATTTAAAAAATTTATAAAATTTTCCAACATTTTTTGGAATTTTGTTTCTGTTTGATTTGCGTATTATTTATTTACATATAATAATACATCCTTGTTCTATGAACTCGAAGAATAAAGATTTGTAATATGCCAACTTGCGTAATTAGGCCCTTGAGTATTTATAATACAATGAAATGGGGAAATATGTGTATATATATATATATATATATATATATATATATATATATATTCAGTATGATAACATGCGGTTATTGTGATAAATCTCTTTATATAGATAAAAGTGTACTTTGCGTCTTTGTGGAAATTTTAATTGGATTAGATGGAGATAAGTGGGGACTTTCTTTTAACCTTTTTTAATTTTTATTTTAAATGGACTGACCATATATGAAATCAAGATCTATAGGATCATTCCTTATTGTACTTTGACCAAATTCATTTTGGCCTCCCATCATAGAGAAAGTAAAATCAAATGGGGAAATGTCTTTTATAAACTCTAAAAAAAAACTATTTCATCTTTTAAAATTCATGAAAAAAATGTAACTTTCAAACGTATCATAGGACATATAATTCAAAGAATGTTATGTTAAAAAAATATTTAAAAATTCACATAACCGTCTCTTCTAATTGACGGGTTTCGTCAAATAAATAAAAAATCTAGATATATTTGTTATCTGACAAAAAATCATATATATATATATATATATATATATATATATAACACTTATAAAACATATCCGTAAAAAGGGAAGTATAAAATCGTATATTATATCCATGTCTTGTAAATAACATGTTTTTTTTAAGAAGGTTTCATAATTATATCTAATGCTAATAGTTTATGATAAATAAATTTTCAATTTTTATAGGAATCCGTGACAATTTCAAATTCATTCGCATAGGAAAACATTCATAGTTATACATGATTAATCGATATGGTTTTATTTACGTTTGAATCTCAGATATTTAATCATTTTGAATTTTTCCTAATTCATATCAACAATTTAAGCTTAGACATTTATTTTATATCCATGGTAAACCCATAAGCATACATAATTATGTTTGTAATTTTAATGAATTCATATTTTGCAAGACCAAATCCAAGATAACACCAAATCTTAGTCTAAGTTTGATTTAAGCTTATAATTAATTAACTAAACCAACAAAATTGTTTGTTTTTACCCAACAGATCGTGGACGAGTGGTCAAGCTTGGGGTAGGAGGTAACTCCACCTCGAGATTGAGTGTTTGATTCCTGGCTGGTGGGAAGGGAGGTAATTTATGGGTTTATATGATCCATATACAAAGGCTGCTCCCGGAGCACGCCTGAAAGGTAGCAGTTAGGAGTCCTCCGTTATCAAAAAAAAATTGCTTGCTTTTTTTTTCTTTCACGTAGTTACGTTAGAGATAGAAAGAAATTGTGATTAATTATTAGAGTTAATTAAAAGATGAAAAATAAAATCAAATCTAAATATTAGTGTAACACTGAGTATTGAAGATTTTGATACATCTTAATAAATTCAAAAAGATTAAAAAACAATTACATGGAAAATAATTGGATATAAAACTTCACTCTTTTTTAATGGAAGATTTTGGTTCGGCGGGAGAAAAACGATTCCTACATGACAATGAATCATGCTACAATGCATTAGGTAGGGGTGGCCATTTCGGTTATTAACCGAATAACTGAACCGAACCGAACCGAATAAGAACGATTCGGTTCGGTTCGGTTATCTGCTTAATAACCGAACGGTTGAGGAAGTTGAATAACCGTTCGGGTTCTTCGGTTCGGTTCGGTTAATAACCGAATAACCGCGGTTAACCGAACGGTTATTGAGTTTTTTTAATATTTTATTTTTTATCCTCATTATTATTAGTATTATTTTTTTATACTTCACTTTTAACCTTATATATTTCACCCAATAAATCATAAAATGTAATGTTTTTAACTTTTATCCTAATTATTGAAGTTTTTAGATTTTTTTATAATTTTATTTTATATGATTAATCATTTTGTGCATTTATTTAAATAGATATTTTGAAATTTATGTAGGATTAATAAATTTTTTTAAAAAATATATCATAACCGAACCGAACCGATCTAAAACCGAACCGAATAAACCAGAAAATATAACCGTTTGGTTATAATTTTATTATGCAAAAACCGAACCGAACCGAAACCGAACCGAAACCCGAAATGACTACCCCTAGCAGTAGGGACAGGCATTTCGATATTTGGATTGTTTATGATTCGGTTTAATTCTTTAGGATTTATAAAAATATGTACCAATCAGTTAATATTTTATATTTGGTTCGGTTCGATTTTGGTTTTTATTAAAAAAAATAGATCTTTTTAAGAAATTTTCGGTATTTCGGATTTTTTTAAAAATTCGGTTCCATGAAATTCGGTTTTCTAAAAATATACCGTTCAAAAAATGTTGGACAATCCAATTAAAAAAATATCATATTTTCGATTATATATGATTTGGTTCCGAAAAACCGTACCGAAATGCACACATACTATATAGTATTTGGCAAACATTGTAAGAAGGATTTTTTAAATCTAAACAACAAAAAGGATTATAATAATCCCGTCGCCAAAAAGAAAAGGTTAGAATGATTAATCCCATCAGAAAAGACATGATTAATTAATCCCATCAGCAAATATGATTGTGTTTTTTCACACGTCTTGTAGTAGAAATATTTTTCTAAGATATTTTTTAAAAAAAAACCAAAGAGAGAATTTTGGTGTTAAAAAATAAATTAGGAGAAGTTTTCATGCAATGGAAAGATTGATAATCGTGCGAATCAAAACACTAATTAGGTCGAATTAACAAAAAAAAAACGAGGATATGTAATTTATAGCCTCATTAACTTTTGGACTTACTTCAGCTTTTATTCTACATCGCAATTGCATAAAGGAGGTTGAGAAACTCCTCAAGTTGCGAGCATCAGTAAGGGAGTTTATTCGATGTAGACGTGGCAATGGTAAAAAATGCCGGTTCTGGCTGGACTCATGGCTCTCTCAGGGGCCATTGATACACGTTTTCGATGAATCTGGACCGATACACCTTGGAATACACAGAAACTCGAGAGTTGCGGAAGTTTGTGATGAGGATGACTGGCTAATTCCGCCGGCTAGGTCTGATCGGTCAAAAAATCTACTGCTCTCTTCATTCCAATTGTCGAACCCGGCGACGTCGACAAGGGAAGACACCTTTTACTTAGGGTGTAAAATGAGTCGCCAATCGCGGGTCGGTTTGTGAGTCAGCCCATATTTTTCCGAGTTGGATCAAAAAATTTGAGCCAAAAAAAAAATGACTGGCTAATTCCGCCGGCTAGGTCTGATCGGTCAAAAAATCTACTGCTCTCTTCATTCCAATTGTCGAACCCGGCGACGTCGACAAGGGAAGACACCTTTTACTTAGGGTGTAAAATGAGTCGCCAATCGCGGGTCGGTTTGTGAGTCAGCCCATATTTTTCCGAGTTGGATCAAAAAATTTGAGCCAAAAAAAAACCAGACCAAATGAGTCAGCCCATCACGACTCGGCACGAGCCAGACTGGTTCGCGGGCCAAAAAAAATATTTTTTTAATTTTAATATTTTTATATATTTTAAAATATTTTTATATACAAATTATATTTTTTTTTAATACATATTTAGTTTGTTTTTGTCTAATTTTTTTTATTATATTTTAAATATTTAAATATTTTTTTAAAAAGCTAAGACGATATGAGTTAGGCTGATATATTTATGGCTCGCTAAAAAACAGGTCGAGTTGGGCTGAACTAAAAATTTTCCAGATCGGAACGACCCGAGTTGGGCTGGGCCAGACCGACCTGTTTTACACCTCTACTTTTACTGGTCGTCATTTTTTTAATGAAATTTGAGTGTATATTAATAAAAAAATAGTGATACAGTTACCAGGATCCAAGATCCACATTTCAAGCTACCAAGCTTTACAAGCAGATTGCTAAAGAACCCAAAAGGGAAAAAATATATCTCGAGCCTTTGTCTATATTTGCCTACATCTCTGAATACCGTGGGAGAATGAGTAGATACCATTTATACAATAAAGAGTTATTTGCAGAATTTTGTCTGTCCTGTAGCGCAAGGAGTTTTCCGCGGATTGCTTGATCCAATCTGATGTTGAGTAGGGGCGTTGAGACAGTTTTGTTTGTGAATAAATGGTTGTTACGTTCTCTCCACAATTCGTATATCACCTCATGGACAAGAATTCTACCAATAATATTCCTTCTGTCATCGTCGTCTGCCGGAATGGTCGCTAACCAAGTCTGAGTAGCGGACAAGTTCGGGGGGAGGGGGGAGGGGGGGTTCGCCAAACTCTCATTGCCTATCGTAACCACACCTCCAAACTGAATGGGCAGCAGAAAAATAGGTGATCGTGTGATTCCTCCTCGCGATTGCAGAGAACACAGGTTGCAATTTGCACAATGTTCCATCGAAGTAGACGATCCCTAGTCGGCAGCCTTTCTTGCATCACCATCCAATGTATGAAAGTGTTTCTGGGCGTCGCCTGCTTGAACCACACCATAGGATGACACTCCACCTAGGCAGATGTATCCCTTAGTTGCCTCCAAGTTGTTGCTGTGGAGAAATTAGAAGAGTATGTGTTTGCTCTACAGCTACTGCGTGGGACCATACTTTCTCTTCCATGTCAATGGTGAGTTGGAGAAAGGCAATCTGGTTTCGATTCTCTGTACCGAAGCATTCTTTCATCTCTTGGTTAGCTGTCAAGAATAGATTGCCAACCATAGACCGACTCCAGGCATGGGGTTTGGATGTACCGAAATCTTGTCTACTTTGCGACACTGAGCGGGAATCAACTGATCACCTATTTTTCCGTTGCGGTTATTCTGCCTCAATATGGGCATTTCTCTTCCAGCATTCAACTCTTCAGGTACATTGGGCAGAATCGTTATTAGGCTATATAATTTGGGCAGAAGAAACCACCTCTGACAGATGCTTGCAACTAATGGTCAAATTTCTCTTCCAAGGGGCGATTTATGTCATTTGGAAAGAAAGAAACACTAGACTACATGATACTTGCCAAGGAAATCCTCCTCACCACATGAAAAAAAACTGACTTCTATCCGGGACGATTGGAAGACGAGCAATCTCGAGGACTCGCTGCTCTCAACTTGGTTCCGTTACTTTGAACCTATCTAGCGGATTGGTAAATCTATAAGTATTTTTGTGTTATGTATTGGAACTTCTATATTCCATCGTGGGGCTGATCACTATGTTTGTCTGTGTACTGCTACTGCTTGAGTGTGGTAGGTTTATGTAAGAACATATAGTATATATAAGATTTACGTTTATAAAAAAAAACTAAAAGAAAAAAAAGAATTATGAAAAAAAGTATGAAAAAAGGTTGTCAAGGGTAGGTCCGATCCGGCCTGATCCGAATCCGTATTCGATTCGAGAGTTTTGAGTTAGGGTTTGGATCGTTCTGAATTTTAGAGTTTATAAAACCAAATACGAAATCCGACCATACATGACTCATATTCGGGGTTAGATTGGGTCGAATCTAAATTTTATTAGATTTATAAATTTAGATCCGAAATTTGATATTTTTTTGGAGATACTCAAACCGAACTTTCCAACTTTAGACCAAAATTAACATCCCTGAAAATAATTTAAAATATAAACCCGTATAGATAGTTTTCTCTACATTTTTTTTGGAGTAATGTATAAAAAAATATAGATACATCTTTCACTCAAATTTAGCATATTATTACGATCCTCTTGTCTCCAAAGCCTTAGAATTTTACGCAATTCGATAGCCTTGTTAAGTGTTTGGTTTATGAACAATACTTTTCTTCAGTTCTGAATTAATATTTTCTTTTTCTTTAAGTATTATATATAAATAAATAATAAAAATTAAGAAATAAATACTAAAAAACAGGAAAATGAATTCTTCACCCAATTCTCATATACTAATTACCAAACAATAATAAAGGTTTTTAATGGAATAAATTGTTAAAGGATCACATGGCCAAGCTGTATACACAAAAATTACAAATTGTTACTGAGAGATCGATACATTTATTATTTATATATATATATATATATATATATGCTTCGTCTTTGATCATGTAATAATATGTTATTTATTAAAAATAAACTTTACCAATAAATTTCTGAAAGATTGTAATGTCTTTAAAAAATGGTTTATTTTTTTTTGTATATTTTAATCTTCGTGTTAATTAAGATTAGATATTTGATTTTTATTGGGTTTTGGTTTACTTATTTTAAAATTAAAATTTTAGTTTCCAAATAGTTATATCTATTTAGTTTGATTTAAACAAAATTTTATTAATATTCAATTATTTTCATTTTTTCTTTAACTTTGTCTAATTTTAAAATATGATATAATTAAATATTATTTTAAATTGATATATTCAAATCGAAAATGTTATTTTAATATAAAAAAATATGGTATTGTTACGCGCAAATCGACTTTATATGTCTTTGATTATGATATTTGAGTATGCTATGTTACTTTATTTTATTTCGTTTAAATGTAATGTGGTATTGGTAGGTGTCTTCTAATTTAAAAAGTTAATTAATTACAAAAATTGTAAAAGGGAAAAGGAATATAAGAAATCTTATATATAATTAAGAGAAATATGCGCAAAGCCTATTTCCACTTTCACCGGCAAAATTACACAAATCAAATAATTTCCCTATTTTTTATTTATCGTTAATTTCCCTAAATTTCCGATCGCCGATCGACGGCAATTGTCGAGCTTTTCGCCGGCGATTCATTCGGTTATTTTACTGTAGTGTAACCGTTAGACACAAAATCCGTGAAGGGTTTCGTACTTCTTCGCTTGGATTTGGCCAAGGGTTTGATATTCTCGAGCTTGGAGAGGAAGAACTTGCAGAGATCTATTCGTGGCCTTGTTTCGATTTCTGGGCAAATATGAGTAAGATCTCAAGTTGTTTTCTGTTTCTCTTTATTAAATTTGGTGTTTTGCTAGTGCTTGATCGTGGGTTTCTAGCTTGAGAAATTAGCAAATCTAGAGTGAGTTTTTTATGCTAAATCCTCAAAGCGGGGTTTCGTGTTTGTTCATTGAGTAAGTTAATGGCTCGCATTCGACGTTGTACCTTTTTGGCCACTGGAAAATTCTCGGAATGCGGAGAAAAATTAGATAATTTGAGTTCGACATGGGCAATTAACCCTTTCCCACCTTGAGTTGGTAATGAAAGCCTTGATCCTGAATCTGAGTATGATTTATGTACCCATTGAGTCAAAAGCTGTGTGTTGGCTAATCGGGTTTTGCTTTCCGGTTCGGCTGTTAGCTTCCGTAACGGATCTTTTCCGGCGGTAGAAAAGATTAATGATGTTCTCTTGAATGCTTGCAGATAATGATCCTCTGGTGCTTATAAATGGAAAGTCTTGTGGTTTTGAGCTTTCCTGAACAGTCCTAGTTTTCTTTTCGGGGAGGTTGATCGTGAACTGATCTGATTCTACATGGACCCATATGAAGAGGAAGCTTTCAGAGCCAAACAGATGGCTGAGAGGAGATTCATAGAAAAAGATTTTAATGGCGCAAGGAATTATGCATTGAAGGCTAGGTCTCTGTTTCCCGGCTTGGAGGGCATATCACAGATGGTGGAGACTTTCGATGTTCATATTGCTTCGCAGAGTAGACGCGATAGTGAAATTGATTATTACGCAATTCTTGGACTGAAACCCTCAGCTGGCAAAAGGGAAGTGAAGAAACAGCACAAGAAGATGGCCATAATGCTCCATCCCGATAAGAACAAATGTATCGGAGCTGATGGGGCGTTCCAACTCATATCTGATGCGTGGACTTTCTTGTCAAACGAGTTCGAGAAAAGCTCTTTTTATTACAAAAGAAAGAAACACATCGACTCCATGGCTGTTCAAAAGAAGAGCTCAGAGTATGTGTCTGGGGTTGCGGGATTCGATTTCTGTCCACCAGCCTCGGAAAGAGTTGACACTTTCTGGACCGTATGCACATCTTGCAAAGTTCAGTATGAGTATCTTCGGAAGTATGTGAATAAGAGGCTTTCATGTAAGAACTGCCGTGGAGTCTTTATCGCGGTGGAGACTGGGCCTGCTCCTGTTAGTGCCTCCTTTCACTATGCGGCTTCATCTCATACACCAAGTAATGGCTATGGAGGTCATGGTTATGATGATGTCACACACATGCCTACCAGTTCCACGTATTTCGGAGGTCACAATCCTGGACATGGATATGATTATGTTATGAACGGGTCCTTTGGATGGAATTCATACACGGGAACCACTCCAAGGAATATGGATTCTAGCGGTATGCCCTCAATGCTGGATGGATATGGCTATAAACTCCGCAATGGAGTTGTCTCTAGAGGAAGCAGAAAGGTCAAGGAGGGTTCTAACGGGACGTTTTCAATGAAAAGCACGGCTGCTGCTCTGATGATACATTCATCTGATGGGTTTACTGATGCTTCAGCAATTAAGGTCAGCAGAACTGAGAAGAAGAGAAAGCTTGTTTCGGGTTTTTCTGGCAATGGATATGATGAATACAGTTCGAAATCTACTTCAGAATTAAGAACAACAAATACTGATAGGCACGTGGGACAAGATTTTAAACTCCCCGGCCAAAGATATTTTTCAACCAGACGATGGTCTGCTGCACCATCAGCACTGGATACCCGTGAGCTATTGATTAACAAAGCAAGGGCAGATATTCGGCAGAAACTAGACGTCACGAGATTGGCTTCGGAGGCAGTAACTACAGAAAACAGGACACTGCTTGATGAAAAAGGTATTGTGTCCTCCAAGGTTGGAGATGCTTCCGCGGCTGGAAATTCTGTTTCCCCGGGTCAGCAATTAGTACGGAAAACAAACGGGCCAGTAACAATGACAGTTCCAGACCCTGACTTCCATGATTTTGATAAAAACAGGTCAGAGGATTGCTTCCAGCCTAGACAAATATGGGCAATTTATGATGAAGATGACGGCATGCCACGCTTGTACTGCATGGTTCGGGAGGTATTCTCGGTTCAACCGTTCAAGATCGACATAGGCTACTTGAGTTCCAAAACCGATGCCGAGTTTGGGTCCACGAAATGGGTGGATTACGGTTTTGTAAAATCTTGTGGGCATTTCAGGATACGAAACACTGACATAGTTGAACAAGTGAACATCTTTTCCCATCTCTTGAAAGGCAAGAAGACGGGGAGGGGTGGTTGTGTGAGAATATTCCCCAAAACCGGAGAGATATGGGCCGTGTACAGGGACTGGTCCCCTAACTGGAACAGATCAACCCCGGACGAAGTGAGGCACCGATACGAAATGGTTGAGATTCTTGATGACTACACCGAAGAGTTGGGGGTGTGCGTTGTTCCGCTGTACAGACTGGAAGGATTCAAGACTGTATACCGAAGAAGCAAGAGCAAGAGATGGATACCGAGGAGGGAGATGTTGCGGTTTTCGCATCAAGTGCCATCATGGTTTCTAAGACAAGAGAGTAGCGGATTGCCCGGAAACTGCTGGGACTTGGACCCGGCTGCGATACCCGAAGAGTTGCTCGAGACGGGAGGTTTAACCGATCAACCGTTGTTCCTGCAGGAGGGAGAGACAGAGATTCAGGTTTGAGGCTTACAGTTACAGAAGATTGGTTAAAAACACACACATGTAACGGTCCTTCTTTTCACTTCTGAGTTTGAGTATCCAACAGGAAGCAGATTTCACGATTAATGTGAAAGGAAACACAAGCTTCTGTCGTATCCACTGGAGCTTTTGTGTTTTTGTTCGTTCTTGTTCTTGTTAAACCACCTTGTGGTGATTCGCAAAGCTCCACCAATTATAAATGTAGATCTTCACTGTCGTCAAAGGTTTGTCACTTGTGCATATTTTCACGTTTTTCTTTCTTTCTTCTTAATATAATCCAAACCATAACTCAGCGGAGCACATTACTTGTCAATGTTGTCATTTGTTTATAACATAACCCCCAAAAAATTTTGTTTATAACATAAAACATAAAACATAAATCTTAGGGGTGTACGTTTTGGATATCTGGTTTAGAATTTTAACGGTTCAATTCTTTCGATATTCTAAAATTCGATTCTATAAAAATAATACCGTTCGAAAATTTTGAATGGTATGGTTTGAAAAAAATACCAAAATTTTCAGTTCGGTATGCTTCCGTTCCAAAGAACCAAACCGAACCGAAACACCCGCGCCTACTTTATTCAACACAAAGTAGTGCAAACGCAAAAGGGAAAGTATTATATGACTAAAGAAGGCGAGACCGCTCCGTCTCTCTATTCATCAACCAGTCCTAACAACATAAAAAAGAACTTCAGGCCTTCTTCCCTCGGTGCAATGGATAACAAACCAACCATTTTCATCAATCTCCCAACATGAACGGATCTACATCCCCGAGATCTGCCACCATCGGTCCTACTTCTGAGGGATCCTCGTCTTCCGTGGTTAAGAACGTCGGGAAAGGAAGCTTTGAGATGTCAGGTTTCTTGTACCACGCATCCTTTATGAACACGAAATTGCCTTCTGCACCAGGAACCTGCATGCGCACAGACGAGACTCATGTATGATGGATGGATGTTTCCGTGATAGTGTATCAAGTTCAGTTCACAAGTAGCAAAACATACTTGTCCTTTCACCCACATCAGGTTCCTAGCAGGATCGATTTTGTAAACCCATACGTTCTTAACTGTCCTTTGCTTTGCTCCCATTCGCCCCGGCATCTTTTTGCCCTTGAATACCTGTTCATTCAATGTATGGTTTGGTCAGTGATTCTGACTCAATACACACCCTTGGTTGTGTTCAGTAAAGAACTCTAGTACCTTCCCAGGTGCATCTCTTTGACCAGTAGACCCGATACTTCGATGGGACAATGATGCACCATGTGATGCGGGCATCCCTTTGAACCCCCATCTCTTCATCCCTCCCTACAAGTATATATATTACACTCATGTAAGCATTGCCTCGTATCAATATGGTAATACTATCCCTGATCAATCACCCTCAGTTCTAAACAAGATTGTTCTCTGTGTACCAAAACGCAAGAAACACGGAATATCAAAAGCCTACAGCAGCAAGAGCAGTTTCACCTGAAAACCTTTCCCCCGCGTGATTCCAGTGACATCAACATACTGTCCTGGAACGAAATGGCGGACGCCAATACAAGTACCAACAGGAAGAAGAGCATCTTCAGTCACGGGAAACTCCCTCAACTTTCTCTTTAACGGCACACCTTGAGCTCTGAAATGGCCAACCTCCGGCTTCCTCAGATGCTTAGCTTTCTTTTGCCCGCATCCAATCTAGTTAACAGCATATGCCAATCACATTATTACCCCCTATGCTAAGGAAAAAACATAACTAAGAGACCCAATTCATCTGAAAAGCCCTACTGTAAGAGATTACAGGACATTCACTTTCGCCTAAAGCAAGAATTTAAGGAAGATATCTACAGTTAAGCATTGAACTTGTTATGATGAATTGGACAGAACAGAAGAAGCCCATCGTTTATATATAGTTGTAACCTATAGAGTCGCGCTAAATCATTCCCACTCGTAAACATCAGTAGCACGCGAATCAAATACAAAAGTCCAAGGTTTAAAAGAGAAACAGCAACTAGGTTCCGTTCGCATAAATCAAGCCATCAAATCCTAGGACTTGCAATCAATGAATGTCTCGACCCAGAAAGCAGAAATGAAGTTATAACCATTGGAGTTACCTGGAGCGCAAAGATGCCTTCTTTGTCAACGGTTTTGACCTGAGAGACGATGTTGTCATCGACCCACAAGATGCTAACAGGAACCCTAGATCCCCATTTGTCCCAGAGAGCCGTCATCCCGCACTTGACAGCTATAATTCCGGTGCGTCTGGAGCTGGGGGCCATGACGCCGGGCATCGCCTCGATGATCCGTGTGGGGGTCTCAACAATACTCGCCTCGGCGCAGAATCTCCGGAGAAGTAAGAAGCTAGTTTGAGAGGGAAGCGATGGAGTTGGCGGCTGGAGAGAGATGAAGTGGGTGAGCCGAGAAACTAGGTTCCGTTCGCATAAATCAAGCCATCAAATCCTAGGACTTGCAATCAATGAATGTCTCGACCCAGAAAGCAGAAATGAAGTTATAACCATTGGAGTTACCTGGAGCGCAAAGATGCCTTCTTTGTCAACGGTTTTGACCTGAGAGACGATGTTGTCATCGACCCACAAGATGCTAACAGGAACCCTAGATCCCCATTTGTCCCAGAGAGCCGTCATCCCGCACTTGACAGCTATAATTCCGGTGCGTCTGGAGCTGGGGGCCATGACGCCGGGCATCGCCTCGATGATCCGTGTGGGGGTCTCAACAATACTCGCCTCGGCGCAGAATCTCCGGAGAAGTAAGAAGCTAGTTTGAGAGGGAAGCGATGGAGTTGGCGGCTGGAGAGAGATGAAGTGGGTGAGCCGAGAGATGAGACCTCTCCGTCCGCCCGCCATGATTACGGTCGGAGCAACCTTCAGTGGCGGAGGGAGAAGGAATTTGCGCAGGGTTTCAGAAACACGCAGCGTTTGCAAGGCAAAGCTTCTGAGGCTGGAAGAGGGTTCCTTCTGTTATTATTTATTATAAATTGAAAATAATAATTGTATAAGCTGGGCCCTGTTTATGTTTTGGGCCTGAGCTTATATCCATAATAATTGAAGTTTAGCTTAATAATTCCCCAATAATCAGAGGATTAACCGTCCTATTATTTAATAAGAACTACATTCATCCATCTTCTTGACTAGTACCACATAATATAAAATTTATTATATTCCCTTTTAAAATATTTTGTAAGCGAACAAATTATAAGTCACTTACTAGTACCACGTTACATTTAAATGAAATGTAACAAAGAAAAAAGACACACTCAAATATCATAATAAAAAAGTATAAGTCCATTTACACGTACTAATACCGCATATTTTATTTTTAAATTTTAATAATCCTATGGATAAATACTTTCATTTGAATATGTAAAATTTAAAAAGATGATAAAAGGTGCATGAATAGGATATATAGACAATAAAAAATTTTAAAAATTGAATAATAGATTAAAATTTAATAAAAATCAAATAATGATAATAAAATCACAAAAGCTATTTTTTTTCTTGTAATTTATGTAATGCTACATTATATACCATGCATTATCTCTGGATGATAACTTTATTTTGAGTTTTTATATCACTCAAACTTGTAAATTCTTGTTCTTTTCCGGTCTATGGAAGAAATGGTCTTCGATGCGAAATGAATGAATCACCAAGCGCAGTCGGTTATCACCCTAAACCGAAATCGAACCGGAGTAAACCAATGAGATCAAATTTCGGGCCGATTGTCGATTGAACCGAACAGACGATCGTCATTCACCTTCTGATTTCACGACACATTTCAAAATTTTCTTCACACAAAACCCTAAACCCCCTTTCCCTCTGTTGTGCGCAGGTCGGAGAGCAATCTGTGAAAAATGTTCTCGCCATTGACGACGAAAAGAGCTAACCTTAGCTCTCGCAAAGACAGAAACCCACGCCGCAGTGTCCCTCAGCCGGATTCTCCCGCCACTCCGGCGGCCGTCGACAATCGGAGACAGGCTTACACCGACAATCTCATCCCTGGTCGGCCCAGCACTGGAACCCCAGTTCCTTCTGCACCTCGCTTATCCGTTCTTGCCAGGTATCATCATGCATCCCGTAAAGAGAGTGTTTACATTTTGAATTTTTTCAGACGTGAGGATCACAGTGTTGCTGGACTTCTAGTAAGGTTTCTGAGGTTGTGTTTCCAAAATTTTCGTTTTATATAATGATTTCATTGTCTGCATCATAAACAGGACAGCGAAATGCGGTTGGTCTTTGGATTTCTTGCTTGTTTGCTTCCTTTTATGTTTTCTTGGTGGCTTGTTTAAGGGTGTCAATATGGATCGGAGAGAGATTATTTCTTATGTAGGATCGAATTGGAGACTAAATTTATGTATTTATTGCTGTTGTGCCAAGAATTTCTCCAGCCAACAAAGGTGAAAAAGGAGATGACACGGATCCAACAAAGCCTGTATTCGTAGGAGAGTTTCCTCAATTGGTCCGTGATGAGCAGACGAACTTCTATAAGAATAGTATTCCTGGTTGGTACTCTCTCGCATTTAGTGATGCAGTTTCTCTGAAGGAGAATATGCACTTAGTTTTGCTTGTTGTTCTCCAGGTGTTGCTTGTGCTTCTGGTGGGATGGATAAGGAAACTTGTCTTGCTTGGTTTATCATTGGAAGTAAACTTTTCGTATGGAGTTACTCGGCAACTCTGCCATCAAAAAAATGTGTTGTCTTAGAACTTCCTTCTCTTGTTCTAGCCACAGGAGAGTCTGGTAGTGTTGTGCAAGACAGTAAAAACTGGTTGATTAGTATTGTTGGTTGGGATAGTTCTGTTGGTGCGCCAAACAGGGTTGCTCGACCGAGCAGTTCTGTGGGTATTGTGATGTGTAACAGAAAAAACCGTGCTATTGTATATTGGCCAGACGTCTTTGCTGGGGGGGAAGTCGGTCCTGTTACCAGTGTCAGATCTTCTGATGCAGCTGATGTGTATTCTTCGCGTGCCGGTAGAAAGCTTTCTTCATTCAGCCAGCACCAAATCAATGAGCTTAGAGGCAGTAGACCAGGATCAAGTGATTTTAATTCTTTAATTACTACTGCAGTTGCTACAAGTGAGCGTGTTTGTGTTGCTCTTGCATGCAGCTCCAATGGAGAGCTGTGGCAATTTACTTGTAGTCCCTCTAGCATTAACATCAATCAAGTACATCTGGACACTAGCCCACCTTCCTTAACCGAGGGTTATCCAAGGTCTCTGATATGGCGTTTTCCTCATTCGTCAGTGACAGAGTCTAGTAGGGAATTTTTCCTATTGACAGATAGTGAGATACAGTGTTTTAGTATTGAGCCTTATCCTGATTTAACCGCGTTGAAACTTTGGCATCATGAAATTGTCGGCACTGATGGTGATTCGGGTATCAAGAGAGATTTAGCTAGTCAAAAGCAAATTTGGCCTTTAGATCTGCAGGTGGATGGCCAGGGTAAAGTGATCACTATTCTTGTCGCTACTATCTGCATGGATCGGGCTAGCAGTTCAAGCTACACACAGTATTCTCTTTTAACCCTGCAACATAAATCCGAGATGGAAATTGCTGATGGGGGAGCGGAACGGGTTCTGCAGAAAAGAGCTCCAATCCAAGTAATAATCCCAAAAGCAAGAGTGGAAAATAAAGACTTCTTATTCTCTATGAGACTGAGAGTTGGTGGCAGACCCCCAGGATCGGCTATAATACTTTCTGGTGATGGAACCGCTACCGTCTGCTACTGTCATGGTAGCTCTACACGGCTATATAAGTTCGATCTACCTTATGATGCTGGAAAGGTCGTGGATGCTTCAGTTCTTTCCTCCACCGATAAAAGTGAATATGGTGTGTGGACTGTGCTAACTGAGAAAGCTGGAGTGTGGGCGATACCTGAGAAAGCAGTTGTTCTTGGTGGAGTTGAACCTCCAGAGCGAAGTTTGTCACGCAAAGGGAGCTCTAATGAAAGATCTCCTCGAGAAGAGGCAAGGAACATGTCATATGATGTCAGTATCGATGCTAGAAGGGCTAGTTCTGATTCACCAGGTACTGGAGACAAAGAGAAAGGTTTAATGAGTGGGATTACACGTCGGACAGCCCGAGATGAAGAATCAGAAGCTTTGCTTGGTCAACTCTTTGAAGATTTTCTGTTGTCTGGAAATGTCGATGGATCCTTGGAGAAGCTTCGTCAATCAGGAGCATTTGATAGAGATGGAGAGGCCAGTGTTTTTGCTCGCAAAAGCAAATCTATTGTTGACACCTTAGCTAAACACTGGACAACTACTAGAGGTGCTGAAATAGTGGCCATGGCTGTTATATCTGCGCAACTCATCGAGAAACAACAGAAGCATGAGAAATTTCTGCACTTTCTTGCTCTATCCAAATGCCACGAGGAGTTGTGTTCTAAACAGAGTACTGATCTTAATCTTTTATTTGCTTTAATTATACGATTTGGGCATGATCTCTGCTTTATTACCCTGTCGCACATGTTTTCACGTAAGTTTTATTTTAGTTTGATTTTGATGCTTAAAGATACATCACGACATTCTGAGTAATTTATTCATAAAGATCAGACAGTGATTTCATGAATAATGTAAAGTTTGAAACTAAGACGATCCGGTCAACATGTGCTGCTCCTGCTCCCCTCCCTCTCAATTTCAAATAAAGTTGGCATTATGATTTACAGCCAATGCTTACATGTCTTTTTTTGACAGGACATTCTTTGCAAATTATTCTGGAAAATGGTGAAAAACTTGCTGCAATGATTCAACTGCGGGAACTGCAAAGCTCAGTTAGTCAAAGCCGCTCTGCTGGATTTGGATCGCCGCATGCTGGAACAGAAATCCAAGTTCTTTGTGCCCTTTGGGATCTTATTCAATTGGTGGGTGAGAGAACCCGTCGAAATACAGTTCTTTTGATGGATAGGGACAATGCTGAAGTGTTCTACAGTAAGGTCTCTGAACTTGAGGAAGTATTTTATTGCCTGGACAAGCAACTAGAATACATAGTCAACCCAGATCAAACCCTGGGGATTCATGTGCAACGAGCTTGCGAGCTCTCAAACGTATGTGTCACAATTCTCCGAACTGCCTTAGCTTACAGAAACGAGCACCAGATGTGGTATCCACCACTTGAGGGTTTAACTCCTTGGCGGTATCGGTCTGTTGTATGTAATGGAGTATGGCGTGTTGCTTCGTTTATGCTTCAGCTGTTGACTGAGGCATCTGGACTTGATATGTCAGCTAAATCAGATATATACATGCATCTAGAAGTGCTTACTGAAGTTTTACTCGAGGCATGTGCTGGTTCTACCACAGCAGTATTCGAGAGAGGAGAAGAGAATAAAGGTTTGCTCCATAAGTACTGGACTTGGCGGGATACCCTTTTTGATTGTCTTTATCAACAAGCAAGAGTGTTTGCAGAAGCAGGTTACCAGGTTAGCATTTATTAACTTCCGTTTTTTTGCTCTGCGGTCTATGTTTGTGTTGAATTGTACTGAATTGTTGCATGAACTGGTTTGTATCTGTAGGGCATCTATGAAAGAAATGAAAGCGTAGGTGAAGATATAATAAGAAAGCACTGTTCAAATTTGCTTTCCATTGCGAAACGACATGAAGGCTACAAGATTATGTGGAGGATATGTTTTGATCTGAACGATACAATGCTGCTTAGAAACTTAATGGTAAGAGCTTCATAATTCAGATTTCTGTTTGCATGAACTATGATTTTTGTGGCAGAACTGAGCATTTTTCAATATCGTTATGTGATACATGAAACTATTTTGGCCTTTCTCAGGACTGCTCTCAACTTTTTCTTACCCGCTTAATCCCTGCTTACCGATTTCTGTGCAGCACGAAGGCGTGGGGCCTCAAGGAGGGTTTAGTTACTTTGTGTTCAAGCAACTTCATGAGATGAAGCAATTTTCCAAGCTTCTAAGGCTCGGGGAAGAATTCCAGGAAGAGCTTTTAATCTTCCTAAAGCGACATCCAGATCTGTTGTGGCTTCATGAAGTGTTCATTCATCAATTCTCATCTGCCTCTGACACTCTCCACGCATTAGCTCTCTCACAAGATGAGGAGTCTAACACAACTGAAGACGAGAGAAAAGTACCAGGACATGGAGATCTGAAACAAACAGTTGCAGATCGGAGGCGATTTCTGAACCTCTCAAAGATAGCTGCAATGGCAGGTTCCAGGAAAATTCTTCCAAAAAATATTTTCCTTAGATTCCGGAGAATATCCATGCTACATCTTTCTCATTGTGCTGCGAAATTTGCTTACTGAAATTTTATGATAACTCTTGTTTCCAGATAAAGATGCTGATACCAAATCAAAAGTGAAACGCATGGAAGCTGATCTTAAGTTGCTGAAGCTTCAGGTATGCATATAGTGTACGGGTGGGTATTTCGGTTTTCAGTTTGGGTTTGGTTTGGATTTATTCAGGTATGGTTTTAGAAAATCTATATCCATTTGGGTTTTATGTTAGAATCAGTTGGGTTTGGGTTCAATTCGGTTTCGGTTCGGATTCATAAAAATGCTTATTTTCTAAAGATATTTAGGCTTTTTGGGTTATTTTTATATAATCGGTTTGGATTCGGCTTTTCGGTTATAAAAATCATAACCATTTGTTTTTATATAGGATTCGGTTCGGTTATGGTTAAGTATTATTCGGATTGGTTTGGTTTATGAACAAAAACAACCAAACTGAATGTCCACCCCTAATATTGAGCATTATAAGGATGTCTAAGTACTGACCATTAAGGAGCATGGTTGTGAAATCTGCTGTATAAACATTCTCTTTAACTCATTGAATCTCTACCCCTGGCAGGAAGAAATAACTAAAGCTCTTCCCGATGGAGAAGCCAGACAGCGACTGTTCCGACCAGAGGAGCTAATAGAGATCTGTCTCGGTATTCAGAACCGGTGGATAGCTTTAAAGGCCTTCGAAGTGTTTGCATGGACAAGCTCATCGTTCCTCCGGAACAATCAGATCCTTCTGGAAGATTGCTGGAGACATGCCGTCGAACAAGATGACTGGGACCGGCTCCATCAAGCCTCCGTAACCGAGGGATGGGCTGACAAAGAAACACTACAGAATCTAAGGAACACTTCGCTCTTCCAGGCTTCAAATAGATGTTATGGAACACGAGCCGAGACTTTCGATGGCGGGTTCGAAGAGATACTACCTCTGAGACAAGAGAAACCCGATGTTTCGGTCATGAGCGATGATTCAACTTCTTCCGTGGAGGCGATTCTGATGCAACAGAAGGATTTCGCCGAGGCCGGGAAGCTAATGTTGACTGCTGTCATGTTGGGATCTGTAGAGGACAGTGTTGTGACTGAAGAGGAGCCCTCTTCGCCCATGGAGTAGAGTGAGGTATCTAAATCTTTCATGACTTAAACTAAAACCCTAAAAGGGTTTTGAGAAAATTGCTTTCGTGGATCGAAACCATATGTGAAAATGTTTCATCGATTGCTTTTTCTGGATCTTATTGCTTCAAAACAAAGCATATATTGGAGGACACAAGTAGATGGGGGTGTCTAAAGAAACCCATCTCTTCTGTCTTGTTCTTCTGCTTCCTTGTTCGCAGCTTGCACGGATTTGAACCACAAGAACGCCTGTCCGAAGAGGAAAGAGCACACTCTGTTCAGATCATAAAACCCTAAATCCGAAACCCCAAACACCGAAAGAGCGGGAGAAAGGTTTAAATGATCGAACTCACGGAAGTCGGGATGCCCGTGATGGCGAAGAATCCGAGCAAAGGAGTGTAGAAGACGCTGTCTGAGCTCAATACCCCGAAAACCGGCTTCTTGTTCACGTACTCGAATACCGAACCAATCTACAATCACACCCACAAACGCAAACACAGAAAGATTGCATCTTTTGAGGTTAAAAACCACAAATGGGTATAGAAAGTTGAGATATTGTCCAAATATGGACTCCAAGTCCAAGAGATATTAGTTAGGGTTCTCAAAGAAAGGGAAAGGAGAAAGAAAGAAACCATACAGCAGCAATGGCGGTGATAGTGGAGGCGAGGAGATAGACGAAGAAGGGAATCTCAAAGGTTCCTTCTTGTGTGCGTCCGGGTCGGCCTTCATCTCTGGCCCAAGGAGGTGGCTCGTCCGAGTCCGGTTTCGCCCACGACGGTGTGTTTTCCTCGGGCCCTTCGGCCGCACAAGTCACGACCAATTTCCTCCTCAGTCCGAGTCGGTGACTCGTGTTCATCGCTCGGGACCCATGCGAACCTCCGACCGAGTTGCGGAACTCTTCGCCGTGGCCAAGACAATACGTGGAGGGAAGGGACGAGAGAGACACCGCCATACAGCTCAACCTTTGCATTACCCCAAAACACCATATCCGTCGTCGTCTATCCGTAATCGGAGAAGAAAAAATATCTTACATTGCCACGTGGCACCACCAACACATCTCTCGCTCTTCACTTATTAGAAAAAAACACTCGATTAAAAATATAATAAAACAATTTTATTTAATAATAAATAAATATCCAATATTTTATGTAAAGGTGGAAGGTTGATTCAAATCTATAAAATGTATTATATCTATAACAAGACTATCTTTGGTCGGATATCTATAAATACAATGTTTTATACAATGTTTTAAAACTAGTTTTACAAAATGTTTCCGATATGGTCGAAAATAGTATGAATATCTAACCATTTAAGGCTTGAGAAAAAATATTTATCGAACCAAAGCAAATCATAATTGATAATTGATACTAAAATATATTTGAGAAAAATATAATTTTTACTGTATGTTTTTGAACTAGTTTTAATTGATACTAAAATATATATTCAATTAAATCGAAAAACGGAAAAAAAAAAGCCCAAAAATTAAACTTGGTCTTTTGAAATGAGTTGAATACGTTCCGAGCAAAGGGTTATGACTACAGTTCCCACCCTATATAAAAAAATAAGAACAGTCTATCAACAACAAAAGTTCACCTACTTACATCATGTTTTTTTTTAATTAAAATTATATATATTGTAGATATGTATGCATATATATTAATATAAATAAATTATTTAAATGATAATGTCATATGTTCATGATTTAAAAATCATGTTATTATAGCATCATCATTTTTGTTTGAATTGATAAACGTCGGTTTTTTGGTAAATTTTTAAAAAATTTAGAGTTTTATTGATTATCATAACAAATATAAAGTTTAATTAGTAACAAAAAAAATACATGATTTTTTCATCAATTTTGAGAGAATATATGATTTTTTTGACTTTTTTGACGATATTCCATTTATTTTATAAGAGTTAAAAAAATTTATTTAAAAAGATTTTTCTAAAGCAATATATCAATTAAGAATGGACACTTCGATTCGAAAATTTAGTTTGGAACTAATCTGGATCAAAAGTGAATCGGATGAAACCGAACTAAATAATATTGGATTTTAATTTGGTATTTTTTTTAGAATTGAATAAATCGTTCTCGAAACGAATCCGACAAGGAACGAATTAAAATCAAAATTATGTACCAATATATATATATATATATTATGATTTGGTATTTATTCTGTATTCATGTAACTATACCCTTACGAATCAAACCAATGCTAAAAATGAACGATTTATTTAACATAGTTTGATACAATTTTTATAAAAAGGAAAATATCATTCCTCAACCGAATCGAAGCTGAAGACAAAACGCCCACCCCCTGATGGCAATCATGGAAATTGTTATTGAATCTCCGGTTTAAAGGAGAAGAAAACTATCGTTGCACAGAGACGAGAGAGAGTATTATTTTTCTCAAGTCGATTTTTTTCCTTCCCTTTACTCCACCGGCGGATCGATCATCCGAGATACTTCCCGGCGTTTCTAGAAGATTCCCTCAACGATGCACTACCTCTCCAGGCGCTCCTCCGTCTCCGCTCTTCTTCGCTCCGGTTGCTGGCGCCGCCGTGATGCTGCGTCGGCGATATCTGGCTCCGCCGCTCCTCTGGACGACGCCGTACGTGTCTCTAGAACTCGGCCCATTCTCGATTTTGAATTCGTAAATGCCCATTTCGTCTCTGTTTCCTCATCCCCGTGATGAAAAATCGTTCCTTTGGTAATGCCATAGATGAAAGATTGGAACTTGGATGAAGAGTATATAGTTAGGTTACAGTCTGTGTCAAATTGGAAACTTGGATCTGTGTGATTAGCATTGCAGGAGATTCCTTGATGGATTCGTGACTTTTAGGCGTGCATATAATTCTTTTAAGTCTTTGTTCATACAACTTTTGGGTGGTAGCCTCTGAATCTTTTGTTGATTTCTGTTGTCAAATCTGATGCTTTCACAGTGTGATATTACACTGGACCGAGTGGGAGAAGGCATTGGTTGTGCATTGGCTGGTCGGAATGAGCTGAGAGGGAGTGAAATTCGCACTGGTAGCCGATGCCGAGAGGGATTAGGGATCAGAATGATGCATTCTCGAGCCAATAATGCTATCGTTTGGAGATATACTCTGCCATTTCTTTCTCATGGAAGCCCTTCTGGACGAGAACGGGTTTCATATCCTATAAGCCGATGTTTCAGCCATGGCAGTGAAAGCGATGACCGATTGGACAGGAACTTTCTGGCTCAACTTTGGGTTACAGAGAAGAAAACGAGAAAAGACAGGGAGAAGCGGAGAGTTTCTAAGAACAGGAGTTATCCTGGCAATGCCTCTAAAGGAAAATTGTTCTCAAATGTAGCAACAGAGGAAAACCAATACGACCAACCACCGGTTAGTCAGAGCATGTCTGGATTTCTGGCGCCGACAACATCTGAAGAGGTGAATATCTCTCTTTTGCTTTAGCTATTGAATCATTTTTCAAAGGGGAAACATTATATTTTTTTGCAGTTCTTTTTTTTTTTTTTGTGTACTCAGCATCATCTTAATATCGATATGATTTCATGTATATGTAGATTGTTTATTTAGCTACTAGTGTATGAGGATGCTGTATAGCAATATGTGAATCTAAGCAACATAGAGCGTCCTTTTGTTAAGTTTCATTTCGATGGTATGCAATTATACTTTGGCCCTCGAGATCCATAATTATATAGCTGTTCCTTCATTTATATGGACGGAACCATTTTCATCTAACATATTTCCGATCTCTGTATATGATGGATATTCATCGAGTATCAATCTGTTCGATTGAGAAATACACGTTTTCGCCATCCGCTGATTTCCATTTCCTGAAATGTTCGGACTTCTCTAATTTCCGTCCCTTCGGTCTGACTTCCAGATAAGGGTGGCACCTCTCCTTGCTCGATCTAATTTGCTGATTACAAGGGACATTGAATGGGCAAATCTGGTTCTTGGTTTTGAGCAGGTGATTTTCTCATCCAGTTGTTCCTGTATTTACGTTACTATCGAATATTGCTGCTTGCTTCCGATGAATAAACTTCGTGCTGTTCTTGGCCCACCTGTTAAAACCTACCTTTCTATTCAACTTCACATTTTTCTTACTTAGCTTTTCATCCTAAGCTTCTTGTGATATGTTTTTTTTCGTTCTTTTTTATGTTTGTTTTTGAAATTGCAGGAGAACCGTTACGCTGTAGTTGATGTTTGTTATCCTCGTGCAGTAAGTTTTATCCCGACGGTTTACTTTTCGCCAACTTATGAAAAAAAAAGAGTTGAGTTTATCAAATTTCTGAATTCCGAAATGTCTTCTCTCTTGCCAGCCTGTGGGGTTTATCCGAGAGCAGAGCAACATTATTGCGAGACAGGTTTTTTTCTTTCTCGAACCGAATTTTCCAGTTATCCCTTGTGGTTTTCGTCTCCATAGTTATACGATTACGTATCATTCTTGAACTTAATGGCCAATGCCCTGTCTCCGAGCTTTTATTGGACCGCTCCTTATCGTGTGTTCATGTCATCACTAGCTGTTAACTGATTGATTGCTGTAGGCTTCACTCTTTTTATGAAGCGCTGTTCAAGGCATGGACTAGGAACTATTGTCACCGGAAATTTCAACTCTAGGCAAAAATCATGTGTTCGTTCATCGGGTCCTTATTTTCCGATCTTTGACGTTTGGTGGAAAATGCCGTAGGATTGCATTATGAATCAAGGAATGCCGT